AAGTGGTGCTGTGGCTCAAGTGGTAGAGTACTAGCCTTGAGCTGAAGAGCTTAGGGACAGCATCCAGGCCCAGAGTTAAAAATAAAAAAAATTCTCCAGTCACTATTGGAAACCTTCAGTGATCACAAATCCAAGAAAGAGTAGATTAGGGCCTTATAGACATCACCCCAAGATGAGATCACCCCAAGTAGAAACAATCATTGCATGGGAACTGGACCATATCTTCAAACAATAAGAATGTTAGGCTATCTTGTAAAACCAGAACTGAGATAATGATCAGCCAGACCACACACATTGACCAAGACTGCCTAAGAATGCACAACTCTCATCCCTTGGCCCCATTCTTTCTCTATTTGAACTTCAAGCTCCTGTCAGCACCCTTGAGATGGGCTAAAATTAATACTTTCCACATTCCCAACACAGCTTTGTTAATTACAATCCTTGCCTGCCTTTTCACCACTATTTTAACTTGCCTTCTTTGGAGCAAGTGGCCAGACTAAACATGTTGCAACTCTTAGAGTCGGGCATATGGTCTAGGACTCACTTTGATTACACTAGCACTATAAAAATTAAAATAAAACAAATAAAGCAAGTAAACAAATAAGCAAAGCTATAGGTGGGTATGATGGCAGACACCTGAAATCCCAGCGCTATGGAGGCAAATGTAGGAAGACTGTCTCATTGAATCTGGGGTACATAGTAAAACCTTGCCTAAAAACAAACAAACAAACAAACAAAATTAAATAAAGCCATAGATCACTATATAAATAAATGCACAGAGGAAAAAGAAAAAGGACTGTAAGAAAACCCACTAAGGTGGGCACCAGTGACTCACACCTGCAATCCTAGTTACTCAGGAGGCTGAGATCTGAGGATCATGGTTCAAAGCCAGCCCCGACAGTAAAGTCCATAAGACTCACCTCCAATTAACCACCAGAAAACCAGAAATGGTGCTGTGGCTCAAGTGGTAGAGTGCTAGCTTTAAGCTGAAGAGCTCTGGGACAGTGCCCAGGCCCAGAGTTCAAGCCCCATGACTGACAAAAAAAAAAAAAAAATCCACTAAAGCCATCAGAAATAATCATGAATTTGTGATTAAAAAAAAAAATGACATCTTAACTGAAAAGAAGGGCACTGAGGAGGGGGGACGTGGCGGGAGCTGGGTGTCCGGTGCTACCTTTAGTAAACTCTGCAGTCCTGCTGTCGATCTAACCGTTACCCTCAAGTGCTCTTGAATGTAATAAGTATTAAATACAGCTCCTGCTTGCCATGGGTCCCACATGCTCTACTGTCCTGTGGCTGCTGTGTGTGACAGCACTTGTCTGTCCCCATCTTCATGTAGAAGCAGCCCCATTGTTCACCCCCAGAAGGTGGGGCCCAGGAGTCTAACATGGACTCATTCAGGATGGTCAGATTACAGACAGATTACCTACAGCTTTGAGTTGCTTTGTATTAAAGGAGAATCTCTCTCTCTCTCTCTCTCTCTCTCTCTCTCTCTCCTCTCTCTCTCTCTCTCTCTCTTTTTATCTGTAATCCTAGCTACTTAGGCAGAGAGTGGGAGGAGCACCATTTGAGGTCAGTCCAAGCTAAAATCCCAAATCTGCATGTCATGGTGCATTCCTGTCATCTGCAGCTACTGGGGAGGCTGAGCTGGGGGAGGCCGTGATGCCAGGCCAGCCTGGGCAGCAAAGCCTAAGACTCCATTCCCACGAGGAAACCGTGGTGCCGTGGTGCCATGTGCCCATGAGCTCAGTGACTGCAGGAGGCCCAAAAGCAGGCAGACCGTGACTCGGGCTCTCCTGGCCAGCAGGTGAGACCCTGTCATAAAAATAACAAGCAGGAACAAGGCTGACGTGTAGCTCCGTGGTAGAGTACTATCCCAGCAAGCTCAGGGTACTGAGTTCAAACCATGACGCACTATACTTTTATGGATTCCTGGTGTTTTTCTTTCCACAGTGAGCTGAATGCCAAGTCCAGGGAGTTACAGCTGCAGATCACAGAGGACGGGCAGGCCTCGGAAGGTAGGTGCTGTCACTCTAGACAGGCTCCTGCTGAGTAATCCAGCATATTGGATGTGTTTAGGTCTCCATAAGCAGATCAAAGCCGGGAAGACGGCTGACCCTCGTTCAGTGGATCCAGCTGTGTGGTGAAGTCACCTAGTTACCTTCAAGGCATGAGGCAGTTGTTTCTAACTAGCTAGCCATGACCCGGTCATCAGCAAATGTTCCCAGGCTGTCTTCCTGAATCTTTTTTTTTTCCAGCCCTGGGGCTAGAACTCAGGGCCTGGGCACTGTCCCTAAGCTTCTTTTTACTCAAGGCTACCACTTGAGACACAGCACCACTTCCAGGTTTTTCTGTTTATGTGATGCTAAGGAATTGAACCCAGGGCTTCATGCATGCTAGGCAAGCACTCCACCACTAAGCCACCTTCCCAGCCCCGTCTTCCTGAATCCTACAGTCATGAGCTGTGCCAGCTGGCCCTGAGATCTGACATTCCAGGAGATGTTGAGCGGGACTTACAGGGTAGAGCAGTGGGTCCCAGCTCCTACTGGTCTTGGCCCCATCTGTGCCAGACCAGCCTTGCAAAACCCAGCAAAGATCACCCATGCGACCTGAATTCAAAATCACGTTTTACGATGTGCCCCGTGTCCTGTATTCTCTATGCTCGTAGTCAGGCTCTCCATCTCTCCTTTTACTCTACCCCACTCTTACACATATACACATATTTGAGGATAGATTATGTTCCTCTTGGCTTTTTCTGCCCCTACATTTTTAAAGATGTAAGTCCTAAGAACAAATGTATTTTCTTATACCCACAGCACAGTTAGCATCTTTTGATAGATATTGATCCAATTTTCGAATCTGCCATTTGCATTCCAGGTTTTAGATGCGCTGAGCATTTCTCTCCTCTCCATTGGGGGTCAGATTGTTACCTGTGACTGTCTTGTGGTGGCTGAGCCACCTCTGTAGCCATCGGTCTTTGATGACACTACTAGCTTGTGAAATTCTGAAATAAGGCCTCCTCTGCTCACACACTCCACTCGGGGTGTGTGCCGGTGGCGGCTCCCTGAGGGACTGGGAAAAACGTGCACAGATAAACTTTCTTGTCTTCTGTTCCTTAGGTCTGTTGGCAACAGCAACAGTTCGTCTGGACTTGTTTAGGAAGCAGCCTTCAGGACTGCAGATCTTCACGCTGAGCAGCGAGCCCGCCCCCGGCAGCTCAGTACTGGGTTCGGTCACTGCAGAGGTATGGTGCGTGCTTTCCGTGGCCGCTCCCAGCCTGCGCCTCCTTTCAGGAGCGTTCACTTGAGTCTGCCAGAGCTTGCTGTTGCCTCTGTGTGATGTAATGTTTGAGGCTCATCTAGGAGAGCCCGGAGGAGCACGGCGGCTTCTACATGGGTCGGGACAGTCCTGCCTGTGATGGGGTCGAGTCTCTGTTGTGCAGGGTGACTTCTCATGCCCATGTCTAGAAGACCATTTTCTTAAATTTCTCTTTCATTTGCATCTTCACGTGCTGGTTTCAGCTCTCGTGGTTCTATGCCGTTTCTGGGGAAACCCAAGTTAATAGACAATGCTGACTGTCGCCGGTTGCTTTAGAGGAGGCCCGTGTTCCATTGCTACTCAGCATTCTGCCCTAACCCACCACATCCACGTGGGATCACCTGTGGATTGAAACTCACTGAAGCAAATTCAACTGTATAAACACATGTGGACCTTTTATTTCCAGCCACTGGCCCTTTGGCAGAACAGAATAAACAACTCTTTCCATAGTGTGTACATTATATTATGTGTTAGAAGTTATCTAGAGGCCATTTAAGGGTTGAGATTTGACTACTGACACACAAAGCCTTAAGTGTAAGGCCAGGTGCTGGTAGTTCACACCTGTAATTCTAGCTACTCAAGAAGTTGAAACATGGTTGGAAGCCAGCCTGAGCTAAAAAGTCTGTGAGCCTCTTATCTCCAGTGAGCCAGCAAAAAACTGGAAATGAAGATGTGGTTCAAATGATGGAGCACCAGTCTTGAGCAGAAAAGCTCAGCGACAGTGCCCAGGTCCTGAGTTCAAGCCCCAAGACCAGCATAAAATAGAGTATGTGGATGCATAGATGGCACCATTTTAACCAAGGGACCTGAGCATCCTGGGGTTCAGAACCAACCAGGGGATGGGAGAGCGGGACAGTCCAATAACCAACTTCTCTGCAGTTTTCCTACATAGAACCTGGTGAGGGGAAGTCCTGCCTGGCGCCTCTCCCTGTGCCTGCTGCGAAGATAGAGAAGGACCGCACGGTGCTGCCATGTGGCACTGTGGTCACCACTGTCACCGCGGTGAAGACCAAGCCTCGCTTTGACGTAGGGAGGGCATCCCCGCTGAGCTCAGGTGAGACGCCGGGCACTGCCCTGCGGGAAGTCTGCGCATGCTCATAGGCTGCACCTGCCCTGCGGGAAGTCAGCGCATGCTCCTAGAGTGCACTTGTCCTGCAGGAAGTCTACATTGCCCCTAGAGGGCCCCTGCCCTGTGGGAAGTCAGCATGGCCTTAGAAGGCACCTTCCTGCAGGAAGGCTGTGCATGCTCCTAAAGAGCACCTGGCCTTCAGAACTCTGGGCATGCCCTGAGGGTATACCTTGCCTGTAGGAAGTCTGCACATGCTCCCTGGCCTTCAAAGGGCTGCCCTGAAATTTCAGGGTCCCTTGTGTTATAAAATCCCAAGGAGAATTCACATGACTCATTCAGGCTGGCTTTGGTGTTGGACAGTAATCCTTTCAAAGAAATAAATGCTGACGGGCTAAAGCAAGGATCAGTCAGAGGTTGTATATTCTGAAGCACAAGTGTAGGAATTCCAAGTTGTTAGATTCTGATAGAACGGGTTAAATCCAGTACTCCCCGAGACTCATTGTGGAAATTCAGCACCGATGGTTGAATATAGGTTAAAAGTCATTCATAAGGGGCTGGGAAGGTAGCTTAGTGGTAGAGCGCTTGCCTTGCAAGCATGAGGCTCTGGGTTCGATTCCTCAGCACCACATAAGCAAAAAGAAAAAAGCCGGAAGTGGCGCTGTGGCTCAAGTGGTAGAGTGCTAGCCTTGAGCTGAAGAGCTGAGGGACAGAGCCCAGGCCCAGAGTTTAGGCCCCACGACTGGACCCAAAAAAAAAAAAAAAGAGTTTCAAAAAAAAAAGTCATTCATAAGCCAGGCATGATGGCAAATGTCTGTAATCCCAGTACTCAGGCTGAAGCTAGCCTGCGACACGTACTGAAACCTTGCCTCCAAAAACAAAACAAATGTTGGGCCATGAGACTCTTATCTCCAATTTACCATAAAAAGCCAGAAATGGAGCACACACACACACACACACACACACACACACACACACACACATATGAAGTCTGACATGCTTTTGTACTTGGCCCCACATCTCAACCTTGGAGAAACCTTGTGGCGTGTGATGTATTATTATTTGATTCATACAGTGTCTCTGCATGCAAAAGCACTACCTTCCCAGACTAGATGCTGGGCACACACAGGTCAGAAATGCACGTCTGGCCTCATTAAAATAGCTCTGAAACCTGGGCTTCCAGCCTCCCTTTGATCCCACCACGTAAAGAATGATGGCAACTATAGATCTGAGGTTTGGCTCTGACTGGTGCCAAATGCAGGGCCTAGCGGTGCAGTGAATGTACTGTCCCCCACCCCGCCCCAGCCTTCCACTCAGCTTTGTTGTGCCTTTGGTGATGGGTGTCTCTCTGACAGAGTCCCCTGTGAAGACACCGGTGAAGGTGAAGGTCATTGAGAAGGACATCTCGGTCCAGGCCGTCCCGTGCCACAGCACACCCGTCAGCAAGACGTTCTCTTCCTCAGACACAGGTAGGGGAGAGCACCTGCTCTTTCCTCTCTCCGTGTTTGCACTGATTTCCAAGTTTGGGAAGAGGTGGGGGCTTTTCGTTATAAGTTGCAAGTGAGGAGATCGTGAGCTGGAGGGACACTGCTCCAGCTAGTTTGGGGGAAGACTTTAACAAGATGTAGAAACCCCAAGGAGGCATTCCTTGCTCTAACTTCCTGAACACTGTGTTTCTTGTCTTTAACACATCCGTGACCCTAATGCCATCAGTGAGCAGGACTGGAGACACATCCCCAGGCAGAGCCTGCACTCTGCTTTTGCATGCTAACAACAGTGGCCAGCCCTCTGGGTACCAGTTCTCATATTTAGGGTCGTTTGGGGGGTAAAGGGTCTGAGTGGAGGACTAGCTTCTCCCTCCTCCTCCTGGGCCCTCAAGAGGGTCCATCTGCCTGCAGGTGGGCAGTTTCTCTCCTCCCCCCTCCTGTTCTCTCTCATGGTGTCCAGGTCAGAGATGGGCAAGGCCTTCTCCAGGAGTTCCTGTCCACTCTGGGCATGGTCTGTTTTCTCCAGGGCACTGCTGCCCTTCCCTAGAGGGTTCCATGGCCTCTGTGGACCTGCTCCGCTGGCCTCCTGTGTCCTTGTGGACGTAGGCCGGGCCCTCCTCTGCTGTGACTCCCTCCTTCCCCACGCCTCCCTTCTTCACTGCTCCAGGCCCTTCTCCTCGGCAGATGCTGTACAGAGGGGGGATTACAGTTATGAGTAGCATTTCTTGCTGAACATTTTTACCCCCTCCTTTGTTTTTCTCCTTTCCCTCCCCCACTTCTCCCCCACCCCACCTTTTTTAAGGCTTTTGGCTGGTGCTCCATGGTGGAGCCAGTGCTCAGGTCATGGTCTGCTGTGTAGCAGGTTTCCCAGGCTTCCCTGAGAAGCCCCTTGACCTCCACCCACCCAGGACTGCTCAGAAACCAGCCTTGGAGGAGGGACTCCTATGTCCCTCCCCAGGAGCTTTCCTCTAGACCTTTCTTTGCTCTCAAGTAGGGGCAGGGCTGGCTAAACAAAACATCATGCTTCTACACACATTTCCGGGACTAGCGTTGTGATCCCCAGATCTCTACGAGGACGAAATAAGGAGTCCTGCAGTTTAGTTCACCTGCGATGGTGCCCATCCTGGGGTAAGCACCCAGTCCCCAGGTGGCCTGTGCTGGGTCTGACTTTCTGGGCATTCCCTTCCTGGGTCTCCAGAGCTTCGTGTGGGCTCGGCCTTTCAATGCAAGGCAGCCCTTCTCAGTTTATCGATCTGTGTGAAGTTGTCCGTGGACAGCCAGAGGAAGGGTGATGGAGGGCAAGTTCCAGGAGGGTAACCATCCAGGTGCTTCTGTTAAGGCGTGGGTGTGCCTTCCTCTTGGCACTGGCTACGGTGGCCACCCAGAGACTCTTGAGTCTACCATTTAGGGATTTAGGGCCCTTCCATCACCTGAGCATAATCTCTGAAATCACTGGTCATTAGAGATTGAACTCAGCCTTCATTTTCTCTTCCTCACCCCTCCCCACAATGTGACAATTTCTGATCACGGTGTTGGTTCCCTTGTCAACCAGTCCCCATTTCCATTAGCATAAACTGGGTGTGGTTGTAAGAGGCTTATTATACATAAGAAAAGACCACCTGGAAAATTCTCTGGGTTCCAGCAGCTCATGTGTTGGGACTTGAAGGAAGGCCTGATGTTCCTTTCACCTGGGTGCTTCTCAGTGCCCTGCCTGTGCTCCCTGAATATGGCCAACGCTGAGATGGGAAAGGTTCCTTTTCGCCTCCTGCTCTGCCATCTTTTTTTCTTTTTTGTCAGTCCTTGGGCTTGAACTCAGGGCCTGGGTGCTGTCCTCGAACATTTTTGCTCTACTGCTTTGAGCCACAGCATGACTTCCATTTTTTTGGTGGTTAATTTTGAGATAAGAGTCTCATGGACTTTCCTGCTTGGGCTGGTTCGAACCATGACCCTCAGATCTCAACCTCCTAGGTAACTAGGATTACAGGTGTGAGCCACCAGCACCTGGCCTGGTCTGCCATCTTTAACTGCCTTAGCAGAATGCTGTAAGCTACAACATGGGCTGTGGCACCCAGTACTGCTGCCTACCTGGTTGCCTAAAAGAAGGAGTCATTTTTTATTTTAAGTAAGAGAATCTGCCTCTTAGGGCCTAGAGATAAACAACTCTTCCACTATGATGGGTCCACAAACACCTACAGAAGACAACAGCTGGTGTGGGTGAAGTGTGATCGTTGTCAGCTGGCCCTTCCCAGCTCTGATTGAAGTGTGATCGTTGTCAGCTGGCCCTTCCCAGCTCTGATTGCCATTCTGTGTTTCACCACTCTTAGGAAGAAGGAAGAGCTATATGCCTTTCAAAAATCAAAGCCTGAGCCAGGCGCTGTGGCTCACGCCTGTAATCCTAGTTACTCAGGAGGCTGAGATCTGATGATCACAGTTCAAAGCCAGCCCGGACAGGAAAATCCATGAGACTCTTAACTCTAATACGCTGCCCGAAAACTGGAAGTGGCGCTGTGGCTCAAGTGGTAGAGTGCTCACCTTGAGCTGAAGAGCTGAGGAACAGTGCCCAGGCCCAGAGTTCAAGAGCCACGACTGACAAAAAAAGTCAAAACCTTCTAAAATTCTGAAGATTTAGTCATTCTTTACTATTGTCATTTTCATCAACCCTATGGATGACAATCCTCCACTTAACCCATAACAGAACACATGAATCTTCAGTGAGGGACCACCCAGGGGTTCAAGTTGTAGATCAAGCCTGGTTAACCAACCAGTCACAAGTCACATGTGACTTGTCACTCATTTTTATGAATAAAGTTTTATTGAAAGCTAGCCATGCCTGTTCATTCCACATGGCCTCTGTCTGCTTTCACTCCTCAAAACATGATGGGTGAGTTGTTACAGAGGCTGGTAGCCTGCAAAACCTAAACTACTCACTCTCTGGCCCTCTGTAGAAAATGTTTGCCAAGCACCGCTTATAGACCATTTCCATTAGCCCTGAAGTTCTCCTGTTTGCTAGTGAACTCAGCACTATCTTTCTTGGCAGAGCTGTTGGTGTTGAACGGCTCAGACCCAGTGGCTGAAGTTGCCATTCGCCAACTCAGTGAATCGTCCAAGCTGAAGCTCAAGTCCCCCCGGAAGAAAAGTACTATCATCATTTCAGGGATCTCCAAGGTACAGTCAACTCGGCCGCTCAGCCTCTTCCCCTGTGAGGGAGTCTGTTCACATACCCAACCAACACGTGAAACCCTCCTTTCCCCTCATGTCAAATGGTATCTGCCCCCCAACAAGGCAGCTTGGTGGCCTTATGATGGCACAGGTAATCCTGTTTATGAAGGAAATGTGCAAGGTCCTGGCCCGTGATGTTTGCGTGTGGACGGTGGGTGGATCCTTTTGTATGATGTGAGACTACCCTCGGCTGCAGGTGCTGCTTTCAGGGAACTGCCCAGCCACTGTTTTGCCCATTACCCATATCTAAAGCATTTTAATTTTTGCAATGAATGTACATTTCTTTTGATATCAGAAACAAAGAAAGGTTATTGTCTAGAATGCTCCATCCCCACTCCTTCCTTCTTCCCGCTTGTGATGTCTGTGGGTGTACATGCTCCACCCCCAGCAGAGGAGGGAAACCAGGCTGCAGGGCAGGCCAGCTCTTGAGACCAGGGGCCACACAGACTCAGGCTCCTTCTTTTTTTTTTTTGGTCCGATCGTGGGGCCTGAACTCTGGGCCTGGGTGCTGTCCCTCAGCCCTTCAGCTCAAGGCTAGCACTCTACCACTTGAGCCACCTCCGGCTTTTTTTTTTCTGCTTATGTGGTGCTGAGGAATCAAACCCAGGGCCTTATACATGCAAGGCAAGTGCTCTACCACTGAGCCACCTTCCCAGCCCTCAGGCTCTTTCTTGATCCTTGCAGATGTACACGTGGAGGGGTGGTTGAGAGGTTTTGTTTACAGTGAGACAGGAAGAAATTTAGCACATGGACTGGTCACTGAAAGGGTGGACAGGAGCGATACTGATACCAAAACAGAATGCCTGAGTCTCCATTGCACTCTGGGCACCAAGCTCAAAGGATAGCCTTGAAAATCAGCGGGATGGGTGGAGCCTCTTCTTGGATAGCCTTGAACATCAGCGGGGTGGGCGGAGTCTCTTCTTGGATAGCCTTGAACATCAGCAGGATGGGCGGAGTCTCTTCTTGGAGCCTGCAGCAGCCAGGTGGTCTCTGGGGCCACAGCCCTGATCTGGCTTGCTGTGGTTCCCAGCCCTGGCTAAATGAGCAAAACAAGTCCACCAAGAGATGTTTTTCATTGGTGCTCAAAGCATCCCCATCTGCATTTGGCCAGCACTAGTGGTACAAGATGCACTGTTGTCAGAAAAGCACGGGTGTCCATCTCATCAAGTAAAGTCAGGTGTCCACCTGTTACCCAGGTCAAGAGCAGCGTGACTGGCCCCTGAGCAGCCCCCTCCTCCCCAACATCTATGTTCCCACCAAAGCCGCGGCCCTGACTCACCCCACAGGTCCAATGAGTGTCCATGTGTGTTCCCATAGGAATATAATGTAAAGTGACCCATCACTACTTGAAGGCAGCCTTAAAACACTGTAGGGACAAAGATTAAAAGACTTAAGTCTGTTGTGCCTATCTATAATCCCAGTTACTCAGGAGACTGAGATCTGAGGATCGAGGTTTGAAGCCAGCGTGGGCAGGGAAGTCCATGAGACTCATCTCCAATGAACCACCAAGAAGCCAGAAGTGGAGCTGTGGCTCAGGTGGTAGAGCTCTAGCCTTGAACACAAAAGCTCAGGGACAGCTCCCAGGTCCAGAGTTCAAGCCCCAGGACCAGCACCAAAACCCCCAAACAACTGAGTCTGAAATATCCAAGTTCCGCCCTGTAAAACCCTATGTGCTGCCTTGCATTTCACGTGCCGAGCAGCTCAAGCACGCCGCTCTCGAGAGGACGTGAGCAGCGCACTGCCTGCCCCATCTTCCCTGGGTTAGCATTGGCCCTGGCCTCAGCGCCTGACGGTGCCTTCTCCTCCACAGACCTCACTATCTCAGGACCACGAAGCTGCCCTCATGCTGGACTACGCGGCCTCCATGGGTGAGGCCTGCCAGGCGGATGCTGTCCCCGAGCCGGTACCCCCAGCACCCCCAGGGGCAGCAGTCTCCGCCCCCCCTGTGCAAGACGAGCCCACCCCGGCCCCGCCCGAGCCCCGGGAGAATGAGCTGGACTGCTGGGACCTGGAGAAGGGGTCTCAGGCAGCAGCGTGGTGCAGCCCAGCCCTGCTGGAGACGGATGGGGACGAGCTGTCAGAGAGCTCCCTGAGCGCCTCAGAGCCGGGCACTGCCAAGAAGACCAAAGGTACCTGTCGAGCAGCCCTGGGCCTCCGCTCAGCGGCTTCGTCCTGTCCTGGTTTCCGTGTGAAGTTTGAGTCCTCATCAGCCTCCCTTCCCTTCGTCTTCCATGAGTCCATCAAGCCTCACCCCCTCACTCCTAAACTGCCCTGTACAGAGTGCGCAAGCCCCCCAAAAGCTGTGGGCATTCTGGGGGCTCGTGTGTGTGTGTGTGTGTGTGTGTGTGTGTGTGTGTGTTTGGTGAGAGTGGCTGCATCACCTCTTGCATTTGGAGCTAGTTTGTGTTCATGCCAAGAGGTACCTCCCCTGCCTGGCTCACTCCTGAGCTAGCCAAGGCATCGGAGGGTCGCCAGAGTCAAGTGTCAAGGTAGCCAGGGGCTCCCAGGAGAACCAGGCAGAGACTGGGGCTTCAGCTGCAGGGCTGGACACTTGTTTGTCCCTCTCAGATTTTTTTCTTCCAGCTTGAGTCAAGCTGAGCCTCACTACCTGGACCTCACAGGATCTATAGGAAAGGAAAACCCTAGAAATGGATCGATCAGTTTAATATGTGTGTAGTGATGAGCTCCAATTATCCACTGAAAGATATAGATGTATGGATACAGATAAATGAAGAGAAAATGAGAGGAGTTCAGACCTCCAAATTCTCAGTGTACCTCCCTGTTCATTCTGAAATGCAAAATCTTACTTCCTTACGCTTTCACAAAACACCTTCCCCCTCCCCTCTCCTCTTTCCTCCCAAGAGTCTCCCTGTGTTCCTGCCTTCGCTGGCCCTTGCTGCTCAGAGCCTCTCCTTCTCTGGCAAGTGGACCGATGCCTTTGGGATGTGGGTCGCACTGTGCTGGGGATGGGCTGCCTCTGATGATGGGGTCCCCCCCGCCCCGCTGTGGATGCAGGGGCTACCTCGGACACCAGCTTTGAGCGTCTGAGAGGGAGAGTGATGTTAGCCAAACAGCTCACTTCACTCCTGGAGCGTGACTGCCTCAACCCAAGATTTTCTTTTTTTTTTTTTTCTGTGTAGTGTCTTTATTTCAAATACTTGTTATAGCACCATTCTTAATCCTTTAGGACATGAACAAAGGTCACCTCCCTGCAGAAACATCACAACTATGTACAGAACTTTCACAGAACCAAGGCAACAAACACTTCAGTGTTAGAAAAGGAAGGAGAAACTTCAGCTGCCATCAAGCATTATCTTGTGGTGGCCATAAACTATACTCTTGTTTTGGAAAGTTTGGGTAGAGCACAGGAATTCCGATTGTCTATTTGGTTACACTCCCGGCCGAGGTATCATTAGATCAATGTCACTCAAATTCCTGGCCAGCCAAACTCCTGAAGCAAATAGTCCCAAACTGAGGATCAAGTCATTCCTATCCGTGGCACTGCGGCAGACGCCCCGGAGCCAGACTCCCACGTTGTCTGGAATCTCAGGGGCTTCATTTGCTGGGCCGGCTGCGCTTACCGCCGCCCCACTGGAAGCCATAACCGGACTCGCAGCCTCCGCACAAGCCCGGATGTCTAGCGCCGGTCCTCAACCCAAGATTTTCTAAAATGAGATATTTGGCAGAGGTTTTGTTCTAGTTTTTCATGCAGGGTTTTGGTCTTGTCTTTCTTTCCTTCCTTCCTTCCTTTCTTCTTTCTTCCTTTCTTTCCTTCCTTTCTTTCTCTCCCTCCCTCCCTCCCTCCCTCTATCCCTCCCTCCTTCTATCCCTCCCTCCCTCTTTCCCTTCCTTCCTTATCGGTTGTCAGGCTTGAATTCTGGGCTGAGTGCTGTCCCTGAGCTCTTTAGCTCAAGGAGAGCACTCTACCACTTGAGCCACAGCACCACTTCTGGTTTTCTGGTGATTCACTGGAGATAAGAGTCTCTAAACTTTGCTGCTGGGCTGGCTTTGAATTGTGATCCTCAGATTTCAGCCTCCTGAGTAGCTAGGATTACAGGTGTGAGCCACTGGCACCTGGCTCATTCCAGAGGTTTCTAGAAGATTCCTGTTGAGCATCTCTTGAGATGTTGGCAAAAATCCTAGATAAGTCTGTGTTGTGGTTCCCAAGTAGTTTTCATTTCACAACAAAGTCTTTTTGGGGAAAAAAAAAAGCTCAGGGACAACACCCAGATCCTGAATTCAAGCCCCAGGACTGGCAAAATAACTTAATTAACTGATTTTAAGAATTCCAGTTGATATACTAAATCTGGTTCTTTATGACTTCCTTGACAAGGTTCCTTTTAAATCAAAGTATGAGTTTCACCAGATTTTGGTTTTTTTTTGCCCATGTTTTTTTTGGTATGAACATATTAATCACGTGCTCTGGGGCTTGAGCTACAGTCAAAGTGTTCTGCTGCTTGAGCTACATCCCCCAAACATCAGGTTTTTTCTTGAGGTATTTATCCAGAATGTTCTTACCTAGAATTCTAGGCAAATCATTACTGCAAAGTGAATAATGCTATTAGTTGCTACAGCCTAATAAGGGAAGAAGAAAAAACTTCAAGTTACCTAGTAATTTAGAGTTCTGACATTTGTTGGCTCTACTGCAACTAAAGAAAATGTATGCTTGCTTTGGGTCAAGCTACCTACTAATAAAATGTTTATTCTTAAAAAAAACAAAACAACAAAGTCTTTTTGGAAGCTGGTACCATGGGGAAGAGTTAGTGGAGTTTGTGTTGTCTCTGCCATTCTCCGTCTGTGCTCTGAGGTCTGGGGAACTGAGGAAGGGAGGGCTTGCAGGCGGGGTCTTGATTCTGTTGTCTGCTTCCATGTTGCTTGGGACTACAAGTGTGAACTTCCATACTCAGGTCTCCCCCTCTCTCTTCTCTGTCTCTCTCTCATTTTCCCTTTCCCTCTCCCTCCCCCTTCCCTCTCCCCCCCACCCCCCATCAGTACTGGGGTTTGAACTCAGGGCCTGGGCACTGTCTGTGAACTTTTTTGCTCAAGACTAGTGCTCTACCACTTGAGTCACAGCTCCACTTCTGGCTTTTTGGTGGTTAATTAGAGATGAGAATCTCACAGAATTTTCTGTCTAGGTCTCAGCCTCATCAGTAGCTAGGATTACAGGCATGAACCACTGGTGCCCACCGCCAGTGTTTATTTTCATGTTAGCATGCCACCTGACCCTTTGGTCTTCGCAGGGATTCTGTTCTAGGCTTCTGTGTAGAATCCCCTGGAATTTGGCAGGCTGGCTAGAAATCTAGGTTACTGTGATGCTTCGGCTAAGGTTTTCAAAAATAAGTTCATTTTTTTTTGTCTTGAAAGGATTGACAACATTGTTGAACACCAAGAATGGACTTGATACCACTAATCCTTACCTGCAGAAATGCTAGGATAGTAAGTCTTAATATAATTGCATGACTTACCACACGGCATCAGGGGAGGTTTTAAAATAGTAACTGGGAAAGGAAGAAAGCCTCCCAAATGCCCTGCATTAGCCTCTTAGCATGTGTGTGTGTGTGTGTGTGCATATGTGGAGGCGTGTACGTGTGCACGTGCAGGGTAAGTGACCCCAACTCTGACTGGTCCTCCATTCTGATGGTGCTCTTGCGTGCTTTTCTTTTTACCTCCTCCGTCTCTGCATCGCGTGCTCATTCCTTTAACTTAAGAGGATCGCTATGCCTACCAGAGTTAATTCCTACACAGTAAGTTATTTTCGACTTCTGTTTTTAAATTGTGTGTCACTGTACTATGAGAAAAGCACGTAGAAGGTATAGCAGTGCTCACCCGTAGTCCCAGGTTGCTCCCTGCCCGTCTCCCTGGTGGCTGGATGGGTCCTCGTGGTGCTGCCTACTGGAAGGGGTCACCATGGAGTTGTGACGGGGGTCAGAGGTCCCTTACAGTGCCTGGAGTCATGGAACCCAGACTGGGGTCGGAGTCCCTCAGTGACCCTCCTGTCCTAATGGCTGGTGCTGCACACGGACCATTCACCTGTCCATTTGGCATCCGCAGCTGTTTGGGGAACAACAGCATTGCTCTTGGCTGTTGCGTTCCTGTTTAAAAGATTTTAAGACATTTATGTATTTGTTTTTGTGGGTTTGCTTTGCTAGTGCTGGTGCTTGAACTCAGTGCCTTGTGCTCTTGCTTGGCTTTCTTGCTCCAGTTGGCACTCTACCACTTGAACCACATCTCCACTTCTGGCTTTTGGCTGGTTAATTTGGGAGAAGAGTCCCATGGACTTTTCTGCCCAGACTGCTTTCTAACCTCAGATCCCAGCCCCCTGAGTAGCTGGGATTAAAGGAATGAATCAGTGGTGCCCAGTTTAAAACACACTTCAATTAGCTATTTATAGCCCTTCAGGATCACACAGACAAGTAAGATGCATTTAGAAATTCACGCAACACCAGAGCAGTCATTTAGAAGAAGGTTTAACTCTGTTGTGAATTCGTACATCAGCTTTTTTTTTAAGCCGTACTTGAGTTTTCAGCTCAGAGCCTTCTGCTTGCTAGGCAGGGCCTGTACCAAGGGAAGAATTCTTAATTCTTTCTCTCCTCTCTACCCCTTGTTTAAAAACCTTGGTTATTTTATACTAACATAAGCCTCAGGTTTCATACAATTTCTCTCTAAATTGTTACTGTTACCATCTCCATTTTATCTTATATTAACTTCCTTTTTCTTCCTTTTTAGTTCCTGTCATGGGGTTTGAACTCAGGATCTCCAACTTTTGCTTGGCTTTTTTTTTTTTTCACTCTGCCACCTCTGGCTTCTTGTTGGTTAATGGGAGATAAGATTCTCTTGGGTTTGTCTGCCCAGGCTAACTTGAACCATGATCCTTAGATTTCAGTCTCCTGAGTAGCTAGGATGACAGGCATGAGCCACTGGTGCCTGACTATTAATCACCTTAATCATAGAAATTTAGGGGTCCATGTGGCCATCTGGCACATGCAGAGACTGTGCAGTGTTCACGTCTCTGCACGGGACTAGAATTAGCATTCCCTTCTCCCTAAACATGAAAAAACGGGCATTGAGTAATACACACCTAGCCATACGGTGTCTGTGGGCTCATCAAACGTATACAGTAGGAGCTGACCAAATCCAGGCCTTTCATGTTTTCATGTTGTGTTTGGAGCCTTGTCACACAGTGAGTGCTTTATTCTGAACTGTGGTGACAGCTGTGCTGCAGAATGCAGGTGGAGTTCAGTCCTGTAGACTGTATCTGGGCCTCCTCCACCCGCCTCCCCCTGCCCATCCCTGGGCCTCCTCCACCCTGCCTCCCCCTGCCCACCCCGGGCCTCCTCCACCCACCTCCACCCGCCTCCCCCTGCCATCCCTGGGCCTCCTCTACCCTGCCTCCCCTGCCCACCCCTGGGCCTCCTCCACCCTGCCTCCCCTGCCCATCCCTGGGCCTCCTCCACCCGCCTCCCCTGCCCACCCCTGGGCCTCCTCCACCCGCCTCCCCCTGCCCACCCTGGGCCTCCTCCACCCTGCCTCCCCTGCCCACCCCTGGGCCTCCTCCACCCGCCTCCCCTGCCCGGCCTGAGCTCACTTTTCGACTCTTGCACTCTTCCGCTGCATGGGAGGGAGTTGAGGCAGGGTGCGGGTCTGGTCCCAGGTGGCAGAGGAGGTGGTGGGGGTCACTGGTCAGGAGGCACAGCTCACAGTGATGGGCACTGAACTCGCCCTTCTGCCCAGAGCAGCAGCTTCCGTGGGCTCAGAATCACACGCCATCACCTTCTGAGCAGCTGTGGTGTCCGCTGGCATCTTCCAGAGGAACGGGGCCCGCAGGCTGGGGTAGGGAGTTGGCGTGTACTGAGTGTGAGGCCCAGTGGCCCGTGGCAGGTTGACGGGACATGTCAGCAGTTTGGCAGGTGGGAGACTCAGGCAGGAGCTGCTGTCACATCTTGAGGCTTCAGGTTTTGCTTTTTAAGTCCTTCCGCTGATTGGGCTAGGCCCACCCACTTAATCTGCCAAATATTGCCATCAGCCAAACCAAGTAGTTCTCGAGTCATAGAGGAAATGCTTTTGACTCTCAGGTACCACCCAGTCTTAGTAATTTCCTTTCCTTACCAGCCACTGCACAGTTCACCTACACAGCAGCACCTAGACTAGCGTTTGACTGAGTCCCTGAGCACCGGGGCCGAGTCGGTACAGACACTGGACTTCCTAGGCAAGCTGTCAGACGGGTTGATACCCAAGAGCCAGCAGGACACACTGTCACCTGTGCCAACCCCAGAGCTGGGGATGGCCGTGCCCTGGTCACCAAGCAAAGCGTGGTAACTGTGTGAGCTGTGTGGCAGCCAGGTTTAAACAGACTTTTTAGAATTGTTTAGGGGCAAGGCCCTGGATTTGATCCCCAGCACCGACAAGAAACAAAACAACAAAACCTGTGGCTTAGAAGAGAAAGTTGGATGAGCTGGGGGGCGCCAGCTCTCCCACATGGCTGATCCTGGGGTGCCCTGCCCTTCCCCAACACCTCTCCAGAAATAGGATGGTTCCAGAATCGTGCTCCAGCCTGTGTTGGGCCACAGGCCGTGCTGAATGGCCCTCCCCAGGGAGCAGACATCTGGCTGCCTTGCTTGAGGACAGCGCCCATCTGTGGGCAGCCCAGAGTTGCTGGGTCTAGGAACAGGGGCTTCAGAGCCAGCATGGCCAGTGGGCGCTCCAAGCCTACACAAATCAGTGTCGCCTCCTCAAAACTCACATTCTTATTTGTGAGCTGGGCCCTGGCTCCCCCCTTCCCTCCTGCCCACCCCCTACCCGCCTGGCTTGAGTAGCACCTGGCAGACACCTGCAGAATTCCAAACCCCGCCCCCATGTGCCCTTCATGCCTAAAGCCAGAGTGACTGTGCACAACAGGGCGCAGTCCCATGCCCAGCAGAGAAAGCAAGACATCCGCCCCAAAATAACCAGCAACACATGGAGTTGTGGCTCACATGGTCAAGGGCCAGCCTGTCAAGTGCGAGACCCTGAGTTCAAACCCCAGTACCACCAAGCCTTATTGTCTGATAGTTCTGGCTAGAGTAAATGCAGTCCATTCTCCCAACTTTCCAGCTCCTCTGAGGTAGGAAGTTCAGCCTCATGTCAGCCCCACGGCTGCTGACTGAGGTAGTTTCCTAGGCAGTCCGTGCCAGGCGCCTCTCCAGAGCTGCCCCAGGCCCGGCTTTCTCCCCGCTTCCCCCCCCCCCGCGCCCACCCCACCCTGCTCTGACTGCCCACCCTCCCTCTTGCAGGAGGAATGCTAAAGAGAGGCGCCAAGTTGTTCTTCCGCCGGCGGCACCAGCATAAAGACCCGGGCATGAGCCAGTCGCACAATGACCTCGTGTTCCTGCAGCAGCCCGAGGAGTCCCGTGCGAGGAAGGGAGCCACCCTCACCCGGCTCCTCAACAGGAAGCTGCTCTCCAGGCACCGAAGCAAGAACACCATGAACAGCAGCCCCCAGGAGCCCTGCGCCTAGCTGCGCCCCCTGGCGGCTGGAGCTCAGATGTGATGGCCCCGCCAGGGGATGGAAGGGCGGGTCAGATGTCTGCTGGTGTAGCTTGGTTGTTTCCAACCACCTGGTGTTTTAAAGGGAAAAGGCCGCCTGCCACTGCAGCCAGGAGCCTCCCCTAGGCTGGACTGGGACGGCTGTTGCGGGCCCCAGTGATAGGCTTAGAGGGACGTTTGTGGGGAGGAGGCTGCGAGCAGGGAGGGGTGAGGGGGCGCGGCTCTGGCGCAGGGCTGTGTGCTCTACACGGTGTCCTGAGGAGCAGGTGCCTCTGGTGGTTGCTGTGAGTGAGACCCAGATCACCTGTTCCGACTCGCTGCTTAGAATGGAAGCATGGGCCTGGCAGCAAGGATGGGCCGGTGCACCCGGACGGCTTCTTGGTGGAGACAGTGCTTTATGCTGGGAGCTGAGAGGCGTCGACAAGGGCAAGAAGGGATCCGCCTTTAGCATGAGCCATAGAACTTGAAAACATATGCAAACACTAAGTAAGTGCTAAGCCCGGCGTGAGGAGCACTTCTCGAGGTTACCAGGAATGTGCATGCCGGGCACCTCCGCAGATGCCCACAGGAGCCCTGCGCTTGTCTCCTGCGCTTGGCCGCTCGCTGCTGTGCAAAGCTGTCAGGCATCCACCTTCCAGCTGCCTCCCACGGCAAGCTGATACGGGACGCCAGGAGCAGCAGTGCGCAGCCACTTGGAAAAGAAGGACGCATGCGCACGCACGTGCACACACATACACACGCACACATACACACACAACACAGGTGTTTGCCAAATATTGCCATCAGCCAAACCAAGTAGTTCTCGAGTCATAGAGGAAATGCTTTTGACTCTCAGGTACCACCCAGTCTTAGGAATGGAGACCTTGCTTCTGGTCTCCAGTGGGAGGAGAATGAGAATGAGGCTGGAACACAGCTTCAGTATGAGCACGCATGGGTACACTTGCTGAAGAGCACCTCGCATTGGGGTCGAGCATGGCTGTCCGTAAGATTCATGTCCTTCCGATGAGACTGGAGAGGCTGACATGAAAACCCGACTCTGTCATGGGTGTGAAATTGGCTCACTCCTTAAGACAGGCACTTTTATTAATCCTCCAACAAATCTATCACAGGTAATAGAGCCATCGGTGAGCAAAAACTCCTTTATGAAAGCCAGAATTAGAGTTTTTCTTTTGTGTTTTTGAGGGTAAGATTGGAAAACTACATAAGGAATTTTGCCTTCTGATAAATGTGAGAAACTTGCTGGGTGTCTTGGGGCATCCTTCCGTTCAGGTACTCAGGAGGCTGCCGCAGCAGGGTTTGGGGTTTGGGGCCTGCGCTGTATAGCGAGCTCAGGTTTAGCAAAGTCCCGCTGAAGCAAAAAAAGGAACAAGGGTAATTTGTTTATCAAGTGACTTGGAAGTGACTTGCAAGCGCGCTTTGCTTCGGAAGCTGGCATTCTGATGTCAGTCACTCGGGGGGGCTGTCAAGGCAGGTGGCACGTGAGGCCCTGTGGTGGACAGAAACTGCCACACGGGTTGATTCTGGGAGGAGAGCGTGTGCAGGCTCACACTCAGTGAGGGCTTCAGCACAGGTCCAGTCTTGCATCTGAGGGGCTTGGGAGGAGACGTGTTTCGCGTCAGAGGCTGACTTCTCCCGCTAAGCCTCCCCACAAGAATTGTAGGATTTTTTTTTTAAGCCAGGGATGTTCAACCCTATAGAATTTATATATTTGGTTTTTAAGTAGGCAAGTTCAAGTTACTCACATGTGAGGAACAGAATTTTAGGGTGTATTTTCTCTCAAAACCAAACAAAAGCAAATGCTTTTAGCCACTCTGTTCCCCGCTCCTGTGTGCGAGGCTCTCCTTCCCTGGGTGTACTAGCAGGGTCTCCACCAAATACACAACACTAACACAGTGGGGGGGGGACGGGACGAGGTGGGGGGGGAGCAGGGGCCTCAGGGAGCACTGGGAAAATGGGCCGCGGACACTGAAGCTCCTCCCAGCTGTCTATGCAGGTCTGCTTTTTCATGGCGCAGCGCATTTGTGCAAGAGCGAGTGTCACTCAAGGTGAAGATGGAGAGTACATACGCATCAGATGCTAACACTCACGTGCGCCTCACCTTTCACCTTTCACCCTTGCCTCTCATATAAGCTTTAAGGGGTGTCTGTCCTGGTGGGATTTTTCTGAGGAGTGCTATTTCAAAAGCAGTTCCTTGGGGACACTAATCTAGGCGTGGTTCGTCACTCTGGAGGCTGGTGTTCAGGTTGTGAGCTGGCCACCTTTCTCTTCTACTCTGTTTAAGGTTGTACCGTGTCCTCTGTGGAGGTATGAAATAGAGCTTTAAGTGTGTGTGTGTGTGTGTGTGTATACAGATGTAGCAATAAAAAAGATCTTTTTCCAACCGAAAACCTGCTGTGGGAAAGGGGACTTGGACAGAGCACTTTATTTTAATCAAGTTTAAGTCCAGAGCCAGCCCTGGTCTCCCCCACTCCCCCTTCCCCTCCCCCTGGGCCTCCCTGGCCAGCCGCAGCTGACCCATTACGAGTCAGGTGCTGGTGTAAGCTTGCGCTGGGCTGGGTGCACTTTCCAAGCTGGAAGGGAAACGTGTGCACGTGGCCCTCACCCCCAGCAGGTGTGTTCAGGACAGGTCCACTCGAGGCGGGCCATCCGGAGCCCTCAGGCCTGACAGGTAGAAACAGGTCTCAGCACCACCCCACCCCACCTCTGTGCTGGGCCCCCTCCACTGGCCAGACTAGCCAAGACGCGATTGCCAGAGACGCCATCAGATGCTGCAAAGCAAGCTCGGGCCCTCCCGCGTGTAAGGCCGCGTTAGGACGCAGCAAGCTGGCGGTGCACAGACACATGGACTTGGAGTTTGTGCTTTTCTCCCCCAATGTCAGGTCAAACCCACATTTCCAAAAGGGAAGAAAGCCAGTGTCCTCCTTGTACACAGGAAGGTTTGGGTAGAGGCTGCCTGGCGCCCGGGCTCCCTGACTGTGATTGTATTCCTTGGCAGCACTTTAGGAATGGGGACGGCTCTGCATGAGGCGTCCCGGGCAGGTTCCTTTGGAGAGGTGAGGCCAGACTGTGAACCATGTCTGAAAGAAATAAATGTACACATGAAACACCGCACATGGCGCACCTGTGTTTCCCTGTGTCCTGGGCTTCTGGCCTGCTGGCTAACGTGGAAAGCTGCAACATCCTTTATTCTTTGGGAAGGGGCTTGAACTCTGGGCCTGGGTGCTGTCCCTCCGCTCTTCAGCTCAAGGTGAACATTCTACCACTTGAGCCACAGTGTCACTTCTGGTTTTCTGGTGGTTCATTGGAGATAAGACTCTCACGGACTTTACTATCCAGCCTGGCTTTGAACTGAGATCCTCAGGATCTCAGCCTCCAGAGTAGCTAGGATTACAGGTGTGAGCCACTGGCACCTGGCTACTTTTTTTTTTTTT